GCCCTTATGATGGTAGTGATAAGCCAACATCTTGAATGGCTTCATTGACATAGTTACACCCAGTGCTGTTAGATAAGGATTTTCAGGATTTTGACCCAGCAGTGCTGATGGAATAGCAATATATTTCCAAGCAAGGCTGGCAAATCATTTGCAACTTACAGATGGTGGTGTTCTGACATGCCTTGGTCAACTGTCAGTATAGAGATGGTGTGTTCTCCCATTGTCTGCGTGGGTTTCCTTTGGGTGCTCTGGTTTCCTCTCGCAATCCAAAAAATATGCAGGTTGAGGTGGATTGGTTAAATGAAAATTGCTCTGTAATGTCCACAAATGTGTGGGCTAGGTAGTTTAGTATGGCAAAAACCACACGCAGGGTTACAGGGATGAGGTTGGTTTTGGGTGGGATGCTATTCGGAGGATTGATGCAAATTTGATGGGCCAAATGGCCTCTTTCTGCACTGAAAGCATTCAATCACAAAAACAGGAATATGGTATCAAAATACCAGATGGACGAAGATCATATTGAATGGTGGAGCTGACTGGAAGAGTCAAATGTTAGCTTCTATATTTTATATCTTGCTTTGTGTTTGAGTTTGTCATAACTCCAGACAGTGGAGAGGTTTCTGCTGATTTCTGTTCGCTTCAGTTTTACACTACCTCGATGGTGGCAAGTTTGGTCAAACGCTGCCTTGATGTCAAGGGCAGTCACTTTCACTTCATATCTGGTATCCAGTCTTCTGTTCATGCTTTAGTATTGCTCAAATAATTTGTCCTGATTTATGAGAATGGTTCATATCTAGGCAATTTTTTATTTGATTGGTAGCTGTCAGTGTTGTTGCTCTTTTGGAGATGCTTGACTAGAGATGCAACTCATTCTGGAGCATGTCTTTACTCATTACATGTCTCCACCATCATTGAGGATGGAGAATTTATGGGCCCTTCTCCTATCATTAGTTTTTTTTAAAATTGCCTATTACCAGTGACATCTGAACATGGTGGTACCTTATCTGATCTGATCTGCTGGATCACGTAGCTTTGTCTTGCATATGCTATTTCTGCTGCTCAGTAAGCCCAGTGTGGTACCTTCACCAGTTTGGTGATTCTAAATTTGGTTGACCTGATGCTGCTCCTGGCACCCACTCCTATGCTCCTCACAAACCACTGACTACCTGGCTTTATAGTACGGTAATGGTATAGTGAGGGGTATTTCAGGACATTACAGATTACAACTCCATGCAGTTCTGTTGCTGATGGTCCAGGTCAGCTCACAGCTGCTGCATACCAGATTTGAATTTTTCCTATTTATAAACATGATTGTGCCACACACTACACAACAGAAAATGGGCAGCGGGTGTGTTGCCTTCTTGATCAATACTGTCACAAGCTGTTGCAATTTAGCATTATCTTGTCACTGTAAGTTGTAGCCTTTTGATCCACAGAGGCAAACTGGCAGATTCATTTATACAAAAGCAAATGATTAACTATAAGACAGAGACAGACATGAACAAGCTTTGAAGGAAAATCTTAACAAAGCATCTACGTGTTCTGACAGTATATGAAGGAAAATCAAAAATCAACACAGGCATGAACTGACAAGAGAAAAAGACAAAAAAGCGTAACTTGACAAGAGACCTAATCAAATATGTCTAAATGAGAAAGAGAGGCAAAGGACAGAGCCAAAGAATGGACTGGATTTACAGGGCAATGATGACCACACCCCACTCTCTCGCACACACCAACCCCCCACCCCAGCACCCAAACCCCAGGCTATGTTGTCAGTGAATGCCTAGCAGGCAAATGTAAAATACAGCCCCTTTTACCTTTGTTAAGTGGAAGTTTAAAGGGGAACACAGTAAAGATGGGTAAATGGTCTAAAATGGGCAACATCAAATTGGCTGCACATTAATATGCCTAACAATATTTTGGTCAGAAAGACATTATTGATTGGATGTAGAAGAGCACCCAAAATTAAAATCCCCTCCCCCACCCCTCACTTAGCCCAATCAATTCAATTTATCCTCGTCTAGTAAAACAAAAGAATGATTGGGCTCAAATGTTCTGGTCTAGGTCAGAATCCCTTTGTGATGGAGGAAATTGGAATTGGTGAGGAGGTCTAATGTGTTGTTGCTGAGGATGCTCGGGAATAGTTAGTCTCAGATCTGAGTGGTCAGGTCTGAGGTGGAAGGGAGTTTCAGGTTGCGGATGGGGAAAGATTGGTTGTTGATACTAGTACATGTAAGAAGCGGAGGGCGAAGTACAGGAGTCAGTTTTATAATTACCGGGGTAGTTAGAACAAGGTTTTAGTCCCTCTACATATCCTGGCTAATATTTAGGTAAGCAAGATGGAGCACTCCAAAACTTTACTGGAGATTTCCAACAGACAATTATACAACCAGTGGAAGTTTCAGCAGAGTTAGATGTGTTACAATATTTGCATGATCCAGCAACTTGCAACTTTAGTCTATAGTGTTGCAATGACTGGAACATCTGTACCAGTAGGTTTCCTCAAATTAGTAGTCAATGACATTCTACATAAACAATATACTTTCTATCTAAACTTCTAAAATCAAGCTTCCAAAACAGGCTTTGCCTCGACGTGAGTACATCTGTTTATCTCCATATTCACAACCTGAGGAACAGTCTATACTGGACTACCTTACTGACTCTTTTTCTCTCTCCACAGAAGTTGCCTGCTGAGTTTCTCCAGCAATTTCTGTTTTTGTTTCAGATTTCCAGCATCTGAAATTCTTAGTTTTATCATCTTGCTTAGTTGATGAGCTGACTGACCTTCCGAAACAGAGTGTGAAAGATGTTTTTCAATTGTGGGGACATGTCAATAAATTGTTTATTGGTTTTGGTTCTAGTTGGTAGTAGTCTCAGTGCTTAATCAGCAATCTTTTTAATCACTTTTTACTGCATTGTACCATCTTTGGTTTTCTAAAGAAAAACAAAGCATCTGAGTACACTTTGCTTTAACATTCCAACAGTTAATTGCGGCTCTTTTTCAAAATTCATTTTGTAGCCAGAAACATAATACTGCTGGACTTTAAAATTATACTAAGTCCTTGTGCTCTAGATTACATTTACTCAGGCTATATTTGTACCAAAATCAGCGCAACAAAATTCTTTGCAACATTTTTATGTAATGTCTCATCTTAATACATTTCAAATTGATGCGAACACTATTCTACGCTCCTTATTTAATCTGGTAACTGACAAAGAAATAAATACTCTCAAAAGTAAAATAACTTGATACACAACCCAAAGCATATATGTGCCAGAATCTATAAACTGTGAGCAAGCTGAAATGAAATGATATTGAAAATCTGCCGTACAAGAGTCAAAATCTAGGGAAAAAACCTCTTGCTTAATGAACATGGTGAATATTATAAGTGATGTGATTTTTTTTTGCTTGTTCTGTATAATTTACTTGCATTATACCTCAGCAATAATCAGCAATAAATGAAGATACAAGTTAAATCTTTAAAGCTGCTCTACTCCAAAAGTTTTCAGTACTTTCATTCATACTGTATCAAGACAGTGAAAACAATTTTTATTTCACAGACTTGGAATATCCAGTTATTTTCTCTAAGCTATCCTCAGACCTAATACCTGAGTCAGTGAAGTAGGTACGATGAATGCAAACAATGAGAAGTTATCACCTCTGAAAACAAAGTCCTCTTGTCTGCTGTATATATTCAGGTAAAGCTTTTTGCTAAGATGGGCTAAATATAGGTTGATTCAATGGTTAAAAAAAAAGTTAATTCAAGAAAACATGATTAAATTGACTCATTTTAAAATATAAGTTCATTTGAGTCTGGGAGAAAGATATCTACAAGGGAACGGAGTTTTAAAAAATTAATCTTGTTTCAACAACTTTTCAAAATTTCAACGAGGCACGAGGTAGATTAGTTGTTTCTCCACTGAGTATGATCAGAAGCCAGAATTCTTGAGCGTCAATTTTGAAGAAAAAATGGCTATATTCGACCCCAATGCAGAGAACAGGTTCTCTCACACTGGAAAATATTTTACATATTGACACTCGAATATAATTTCCTCATGCTTATGTTCTTAATTCTATTCAACTGTCACAAGTTATGCATCATTGCTCCAATAGTTGGAAACTGGTAAGTTCCATGAGAAGAGATATAAGTAGCTAAAAACAATTATGGCATGAAACTTGGGGAAATTTCAGGCTTGCATTTCTAACACTACCAGCAGTAGACTGAGTGAAAACTAAGCCATGACATCTGTTTCTTGGTTAAAGCAATTTTGTGTGATTTAAACTTAGCTTCATTATGCAAAATTACACGTTACTTGGCATCACATTTTGTACTCATTCCAGAGCCTAGATGTATTCCTTTCTCTCTGCTGTTGGCCAGTCTCACCTGGATGATGATCAGAACCCTGCAGTTGGTTTCAAGATGCCTAGCGAGGAAGGAAAACACAGCGTAGTTTCCCACACCTGAATCCTACCCAATCACTTTCGCTTGCTAAGTGTTGATGTGCATGAATGTTGGGTAATAACATCATTCAGCTTGGCTGTGGATTGCATTGAAGGAAGTTAATTTCAGAAGTGTACCAAATGGATGTTAACATCCATGGAGCCATACCCACCCAGAAGTTAAGAAATCCTGAGCAGCGAAATTCAATACAAAATTATTACTTAGAAACGAGGGATATGCTATACATGTTTACATTCGAATCGTAGATCCTATGTTGATCCTGTATTCTGTATCTAATATAATGTATGTGTTCTACTGCTGAACCTAGTCTAGCCAAGTCATGTTTTCAATATTGTTGGCAATACTTTCTTGCACTTTCTTTGTCTGGTTAAAATTCCGTCAACTGCATCCTTTGTTTGAAATTCATTTAATTGCACTTTCATAGCAAACTAAACTCTGCAGCATTAAAAAATAACAATTTATCAAAAGTTCCTCTTTATAAGAACTGTTATCATGTAAAGAAATTAGAAAGTGTGAATAAATCAATCTTCATTTTTTTAAAAAAAAAATTTATTATCAGTAATTGAAGGAGACTTTTACAACTAATAGACATTACAAAGATATACCGGTGTTACAGACATGGTCTACCTCCAATTTCCAAACAAATCAATAATAGTATGCATCTATGAAGCAATCGTAACTTTTTTGGTTCAGCACATTCGTTATGTTTACTTAATAGTACCAGATACTGGTACAACACTTATAGTTGTGAATCTAAATTATACATATTCCCTAGCGATTTGACAAAAATCAAAGTTTTGTTAATTCATTAGCAGTCATTCCAACAGATATGTGAAGTTAAACAAATATTGCCAACACTCTTTCTATGCTGACAATCACAATTTAAAAAGTAGAACAGGAAATGGTTTGAAAGGAAGACAATTATGTGCATGTAAAATTATCTCTATTTTGTTAAAATCTGTGACCAGTTACTTGAGATGCAGTTTGATTTTTGAAAAAAAGTATCACTGATAACATAAACAGTGGTACACTATATCACCCTCACAATATACTCAGATTACTGATAAGTATATTTCAAGCACTAAAAAGTATCACACTGTGACCAATCTTAAAGCAAAAAAAATGTCATTTGATATAGGTGCAGATAGAAGTAGGAAGACTTGTTAGATTCTGCATATTACAAACAAGAAAGACAGTTATATGAAATACCGGTAAAGCATGCAGATATTTGTTTATAATAATTTATCGAAATATGTTGATTTTGAAAAAGTAATGCCAGGTTTAAATGATTTACCCTTCATTTGTCTTGTCTTGATTTAACACATCATCTTGCAGTGTTCAAGTAATAGATTAGTATTACACTTCAGATGATGCACTTCAAACATATCTAAATAACCTGGTAGAATAATAAACTTCTCCAAATAGAGTTGGAGATAAAATTAAAATGATTGCTAATATTTAAATAATCTGCACTAGCTTTTAATTTGAAAAACCAATAAATGATAAATGATTTCTTAAAGTAATATGTAATTTGCTTTTATGTTTGAAAAATAAATGTCTCACATAAAACAAGGAGGTGGATAACTGGTTGACTTGTACTGAGCGACAGTCCTCTGGGATTGCTACTGGGACTTATTTAAGATTTATCTAATTAACCTGGATTCATAAACTTAATGCAGGTTAACCAAACTTGTAGATACAACTAAATATAGAGAGGGCATCAGTGTAACCTAATGATATAGTTAAGCTACGTTATGGAAGAACTTCGACAATTGTGAACTGATAACAATGGCAAGAAATTCAACACAGGAAATTCAAAGGTGTTACACATCAAATGAACAGGAAGGGGACAAACTGTTCAATTACATTGAACATTTTAAGAGGAAAGGTTGCAAGAGAGTTGTAAATCCTGTTACGCTTAATAGTTACCATAATCTCCTTATTGTAGAGTGTCAAATGGAAGATTAGGCTATACTGCCAGATCAGCGGAGGATAAATCTGAAGGTATGATGCCAAAAGTGTTCAATCCTCTATTCAGTCCACACTTTTAGTACTACATTCACTCTTAGTTGAGGCACAAAGGAAAATCCAAGTCCAGGAAACAGTGGAGATAACACCAAACAGCTGATCACTTATATTTGAGGGAAGAGTTATAAGTAAGACATCGTTTTTGCTCATTTTCAACTGAATTGAGTAAGAAATGGTCCTATATAGGCATAAGTAATATTACATGGAGTAGAAAAGCAGTTTGAAAGTAAACCACAGGGAGGCATACGTTCCAAATAACAAAAGGACTGCTATTAGAATACACATTTTCATGCACAGAAATTGGTATCTGAAATGATCTTCTAGATAAGCCAAGGGGCGCAAAAATTCTGTGATAGTGACACCAGAGATACCTATGGAAGAATGAGTTGGATGGTACTAATGGCCTTTCCTCATCTTGACTAATCTTTCTGTAAGCTACTGTAAAATGAAACTGTAATTTTGTTAGCCTGTAGGAGGCCAGATGAGTAGTTAAAACTATCCAGTGGGACCTAACTTCTGGTATCCCATTATCCTTTCATAAGTTAAGCTTTAAACATACACTTCCAAGGACATGGGAAAGACATCTGCTGGAAATAAGCTGGATGTATTGTGGGGGTAGTCGTGTGGGGGTCGAACTATCTACCCTGCAATAGAACTGGTAAGAGCAGGCCTGCGCCACTGGGAAAAGCTTTTGGAAATGATAATGGGAAAGGGAATGCCAGAATTGGACTTCACTCACCATTTCTGAAGCACCCCCAAGTCAGGCAGAGCCAGTGAAAATCCAAGCCATTATATTCATTGTCTCCAGCTACACTCTGTATCACGAACTTTTCACACAAATATATAGATGGATGAAAAATATATAGAACTTACTTTTTGAATAAAAATACTTTTCAAAATTAGGACAATTATAATGCAATGCTAATTCTAATTTTAAAAAGAGCTCTATTCCTTGGATAAGTATTAGAAGTGAAGGAACAAACAGATAGCTTCATAAAGTGTCAGGGAGAATGCAAATTTTATGTTAACATAAATTGTGACGAACTTTTCCATGCTATTTTCTCACCTGACTTAAAGAAAATGCAAGAAGAGAATGCAAGCAGAACCAAGTTAAAAATTCACACAAGGGAGGTATTATCAAACAATGTGGAAAACAAAAACAAAACTTCTTTTTGGCACTTCATTGGCACTATATGTTGAATGATTCAAATGTGAAAATATTCAAGTTCCTTAATGTCAGCATCTGCTATCCAGAGGATCAAGAGAAAACACAGTGCCTTCGAGAGTTAGTCCCATTTTGAACCCCTCCTAGAAAACAGAAAACAGGTTTGTTATTATAGCAGATGCTTGTTTTCAATAACAGGCACACAACATTTAAAACGATAGCAGTAAAACTCCAAAAAGAACCCAGGTCATTTTGTGTCCTAATTGGAAGTTTTGATTTTGTTTTGTAATCTGCCAGAACTCTTCTCAAGCTTTGAATAGAGCTCTTCAAAAGGGCAAAAAAAAAGTTATAACAAAGTAACTATAACATCAATCATTTGTGTGTAGGAGCCTAGGGAATTCATCTAAAAGCCTGTTAATGATAGATGGTGTAAAACTAATGATACCTTATCAGGGATTTTAACATCTTGGAATGGAAGCCAGGCACAGAATACTATGAGATAGCACACATAACAAATTAATAACACTGAATCAGAGATAGTAGGAACTGCAGATGCTGGAGAATCCGAGACAACAAGGTGCAGGGCTGGATGAACACAGCAGGCCAAGCAGCATCATTAATAACACTGTTTACTCTCCTGTGTAGTTTAGATCTGGGCATGGCTTACCCGCTAAAATCAGTGGACCAGTTATTGAAAGAAGTTGAAAGGATAATTCGTGGTTAAGTATTGTTGGATATAGCTGCTTGGTTTCTTCTGGTGCTAATTGAGCAGATTTTTTAGGTTAACAGAAGATCAGCAAAACAGGAGGAACCAATTTGTCTTCAATACCTGTTTAGCACATCTTTTAGAAAAATATTTTTTGTGATTATTTAATTTATTTTTGTGTGAGACTTGATATCAGAAATTTGTACACTTGGGAGCATAGCTCTTTTAGGTTGATAAAGCAATTCCTTAGTGAAGTGCTGAGAAAAATCATTTTGTTGCCAAATTACACTTTATTCATTGAAGAATATTTATGTACATACATTGTTACTGAAGTGGTTTTGTACAGTCTTTGCACATGAAGAACAAACAAAACGCTGGAATTTGGCATTCCCTGCAGTTACAAAAAAAACCCAACACTTTTCTTACATAAGACAGGCGATGGCCTAGTGCTCTATCACTGGACTGTTAATCCAGAGACCCAGATAATATTCTGTGGACCTGGGTTCAAATCCCACCACGGCAGATGGTGGAATTAAGAATCCAATAATAACTGTAAATCAGTTGCCGAATGTTGGAGGAAAACCCCATCTGGCTACTAATGCCCTTTAGAGAAGGAAACCACTATCCTTACCTGGTCTGACCTACATGTGACTCCAGAGCTACAGCAATGTGGTTTACTCTTAACTGCCCTCTGGGCAATAAATACTGCCTAGCCAGTGATGCCCTCATCCCACTAATGAATAAAGGAAAATAATGTATTTACATACATTTGTGGCACGAAGATGGTCTAATAACTGAATGGAACCCCATTGTACGTTGGCAGAAGGACATTAACTGGTGTCTTTTCAAGTTGTGTTATGTGATGCAAGGGGACCTCTATCTCATCTGTGGAGAATGCATGTTGTACCTGAGCAACGAAGGTGGTAATCTTTTTAAAATGTGCTTATCCCTGAATGTTTTCAATGAGCTACTGAGGGCATCTCTAACATTTGTCACGTGGCTATGTAATGATATGTACAGATGTGAGTGATCTATTATTTGCTGGGAGCAAGAACCTATCAGGTGTGTTCTAGGCACCTTCAAAATGACAATACGTAACACCTTCCATCATCACAGTAAATATCGATAAACCAGATTTTCACCATAGAGTAGAAAACAGGAGCCACGATTATTTCTGTGTCCAAAGCCCATCTCCAGTGGGGAACTGACTGAAATTCATGATTTTATTTTGCCTTGGGGGCAGAGATGGGGTGATAACTATTTAATTGGTATGGAACCAACATCCCTGTCCAGTTAAAGTTAGTGGGGTTGGTAATGGAGTTGAGTCAGATGAAGTTGGGGAACTCATTCAGATACCCGAGTGATGCGCTGGTGTGTAGTTGCCTGTGAGATGCTGCTGCAGTCTCCCTGAGAATGGCACGCACACCCATGGCCAGAGAATTGCAATCTCCTTCACCATTGGTTCCAAGTCATGTCTAGGTAGCTTCATCTCTGTCTGGAAATTCAGTGCTCAGGGTAGAGTCTCCTTCTCCTTTCTGCCCTGGGCCACTCTCCTCGAGCCTGATAAATTCTCAACCCTCTGCTCAGCTTGTGCATGCCACCAGCGGCTTCAATTTCGAAAGATGCATTGCCCTTAACGCTTTAAAACTTTTCTGGCCCCTCATTGGTTTGAGGCAGACAGCTACTGAACAACAGCGCCCTCTAGGAAGACAAAACCCTTTCCAGAAGCGGATTTCTACAAGTCTGTAATGGTGTTCCTTAGATTGATCAGGGATGTGAATGAGTTCATAGGTCCATGCTACCCCACCTTGACCAAGGTTGGTAATGGTGAAACGGATGTAGGATGTCGAGCTCCTCAACATTACTGTGTTACCCAGCTCTCCATTTGTGCCCTACTGGTTTTCCCTGTTGCATTCTTTCTGTGACTAGCTGTCCAGTGTTAATCTGGTCTCACTGATTTGTCCTTGATAAAATAAAATATTAAAAACAAAGTGTCAAATGTTTATGGAACTGGCTCCTTCTCAGTACTTGATCTTCAAAAGTTAGATATAACAGACAGCTATTTTTGCATGTGTTTTGAGCTTTGATGGTTTTTGCACCACGGTTAAGTTATAACTTGATCAGCAATGGAAAAATAACAGGAACAAGATTCAGCTTAGACTTGTAGAATTCTTGGCTGCTATTTCTACAGCAACATTGACAGTACATTACATTGACTATGGAATGGTGTGTAGCATGAGGAGGCCCTGAAGAAACAGGAAGGGAAGGTAATTATTTCAGCAATAACGTATAGTCGTGCAACAACATATATATTTCCTCGGAACAATTTAACCATTAATCAAAATTGTTTCCAAATATAGTTTTCAAAAAGCAATATCGCATCAATAAGAAGAAAAATCCAACACCCTTTTCTTACATGTTCACGAGAAGGAACAATTTGGCACGTGGAAGACTGTATCTGTGCAGATGAGGGCTGAAGGAAAGATGCAGGGTTTCTACCCTGCATATAATAATGCAGGATTATAATGCAGAAGCTGCAAACAGGATTATCAAAATATTGAAACTGCTAAGAACTGTGGACTGCCTGTCAAAATAAATGAAGTAGACTAAATGAAGGGGAGCCTGGTGACTCAGTGATTAGCATTACTGCCTCACAGCACCAGGGACCTGGGTTCAATTCCAGCCTCAGGCGACTATCTGTGTGGAGGTTACCCATTCTCCCCGTGTCCGTGTGAGTTTTCACTCCAGTTTCTTCACACAGTCTAAACATAAGTAAGTTAGACGGATTGGCCATGCTAAATTACCCATTGTATTCAGGCTTGTCTAGGTTTAGGTGTGTTAGCCTTGGGAAGGGTAGGGTTACAGGGAAAGGGTATGGGGATGGGTCAGTGCTCTTGTTGGGCTGAATGGCCTGTATCCACACTGTAGGGATTATGTGAAAATGAAACAGTTCTTCATAGAGAAGAGCATTAAGAGGTGCAATAGTTTCCTAGGATACTGGAATCATTTTGAAATTGGCTAAATCTGTAAATAGGTTGTGCTTTTAGCAAGGTGAAATGAAACAGGCTGAAAGGTCTTAGGCATGCCAATCTATGTCAGGGACTTGAATGTTGATTCTTTATTCTTTTCAGAAACATTACAAACAATATAATGGAATTAATCATGGTAAAAAGTGCATTCGGTATGCATGTCCATTAGTAATAATTCAAAATACAATATACCAACCATCGCTGACGCTGCTGGGCAGAAATGTAGGCATAAAGATAAAAGAAAAATGCAACTCAGTAAAAGAGCACAATTATAACACTACAGATTCAAAAGTAAGCATTTAGCTAATTGAAAATGATCATGACTGAACTTACAATATTATTAATATCTTAATTTGCAAATAAACAGCAAGTCATTTAGGATGTTTTCCATTATCTTTTAGAAAGAATAAACCTACTCAGCTTAAAGAGAAAATCTCAGAATCAGTGCACTTATTTAACCTCAACATCTTCTGCATGTTAAATTGTTCAACAAAAGTGAATTTCATCATCCTAAGTATAAAAAGCATCTAGGAATTAGCATTCCTTGAGGAATTTTCTACCATAGTTGCTCAAGCAACCGTTCCCACCCCAATGCTTAAAAAAACGGAGTCATGTAACAGCTCTTAAATCTTTTCAAAAATATCTGAAAGTGATGCTCAAATTTTAAATTGCTTGAACGATCATTACGCAAGTACATATAGGCAGCAAATGAATATTCAATTTCAGATTTTTGGTTAGCAGAATTAAAAGGAGAAATAGCAAGATCATTGAAACAATTCTCATGAAATAATATAGCTGCAAGGCACACTAGAGTAGAAACAGAAATGAAAATCAGGCCAACATTAGGGTATTTTGTGTGTGCAAGTAGATCTTCTTTGAAAGAATGAAGAATATCATCCTGACTGCAAGATATGGAACATTTCTCCCCATTAATCACACTCTAACATATACAGAAATAGAAATAAGATAGTGTAAAAAATAATGATGGGCCACAAGTAATGGTGAGTTATAACAAAGCTAAATCGTTATCATTCTGAGGTGTCAAAAGCACGTAAATTCATTCAGGTAGCTAGTTTGCAATGATGTTGGGAGGAATCTGTTTCATATTAACCAAGACATGTAAGAGTTCAGGAACTTTAGAGAGATTTTACTTGGACTGAAAACGTTTACACTTTGCTTTAGGTAATACTTTCTCTCAACCGGAATGAAGTTTGACCTGTAATAGTCAATTCCCAAACCAAACTGGAGTTGAGCTTCTGTGTTGAAACAAATTGCTTAAGAGCTCATTTTGCAGTCCATCACAACTCTTTAGGCCCTAACGTAGGGCATGACAGGACTGTGAAGATCAGCAGAAAACAGTTTGCCTGATCTTCACCACAACAGGTCAGATCTTTGGCTCTTTGGATTT